CGCATCCCCGTCCCCCTCCACCCGCTCAAGACGGATCCCGTTCCTCTCTCTCTCAGGGCGCGCAGCTCTTCACATCTGCAGCCGTGAACAGGCAACCTAACTTGTCCGATTTCTCTCTAGGGCGCGCAGCTCTTCTTCACCTTCTCGCGCGACATGCTCGCGGGGGACCAAGTCGGTCCGGCGGTGATGGACGCGATGTGAGGCACCGCGAGCCACCCCGCTCTGGCGTCTGTGTCTTCCGCAGTCCCTTGGCGGGGAGCAGCACTTGCGATTTGGCGGGGAGCGGGAGGGACGGAGAGTGTGTGTGTGACGGGCCCCTCCCCCGGCCGTCTCTCGTGCAGCTAGCTCCTGTCTCTCTGTGTGTGGGGGGGCGGCGTCCATGATTGCGTGTGGGGAAAACGCTGCTTAGTGGCACATGAGACATGTAGAGGATTTTGAGACACGCGTAAGCTCGCGCGCGCACACGATCGGCCGAGACCCGAGTCTCGCGGCGCGCGCAAATCGCAATAAAGAGGCCCACACCGAGAAACCGGCGAAACCGCCGGAGCTCGCCGCCCGCTGCGGGGAGGCTGCGGCCTCCGCGGGCCCGCGCTCGGGGTTCAGGGCCGACAGGGTCGACGCTCGCCCCCGCTGGCGGCTAGTAGCCGGTGGCAACCCCGCGCGACCCGCGCGCCCGTGACTGCCGTGCCCCACTCGCTCCCGGCTCGCCGCTCGGCACTGGCCGCGCGCCGCAAACGCCACAAGCCAGCGACGCCCCTGCATGTTGACCCCACCGAGAGAGCCGGTCCGTGGACTCAAGTGTCCGTGGACTCAGTGCAGCATTCTCCGCCCGCCTCCGCCTCTACTCTTCTTGCCGCCAGCCTTGCCGCCCGCCCCCACGGGCGGCGTCTCCGTGAGCTGGCTCTCCTTGTGCTGCTTGGCGTGATGGGCGAGCCGCTTACTCTCTCCGACCGGCCTGCTAGGAGTATGTGCGTTCCTCTTCTCCCGCTGGATGATGCGCTCTCGCAGCCTGGTCGCATTCCTCTTCTCCTGCGCGTTCTTCTCCCACTTGGCCGCCGCCGCCGCGTCCGCCGCCTGCTCCGCCTCCGCCGCGCCAGGGTCCACCTTGGCTGGGGCGTCCACCTGCGAGCCGAGCGGGTCCCACTTCGCCATCTTGCGGAGCGTGGCGACCTAAGGCAAGGTAAGGTAAGGTAGACTTCTCCACACACACGAGGTGGTGGGGCAAGGGGGGGCGACCCTCGCGTCTCCACGTCTAGACGACAGGAGCCCCACGGCATTGAAAGTGCAAGGCCCAGTGCGCGTGGGTGAGCGGTGTGTGTGTGTGTGTGTGTGTGTGTGTGTGTGTGTGTGTGTGTGTGTGTGTGTGTGTGTGTGTGTGTGTGTGTGTGTGTGTGTGTGTGTGTGTGGCGACCTTCGCCGCAAAGCCCCGCGCCGCCGTCAGGTGCGTGATCGCATTGCCGGCCGAGTACGGCAGGTGCGCGAACAAACTGCGCGGCGCGAGGGCGACGGCGTCGCCGCCACGGATCGGGAGGCGGACGTAGCTCGCGCGCGAGGAAGGGCCGACGGCGCCGGCCCACGGGCAGACCACAGAGCTTCGCTTCTGCAGCTTCCACATGGCGCGGATCTGCTCCTTGTGCGCCTGCGCCTCGGGCTGCGGGGTGTGAAGAGACGCTGCTCACAGTGAGAGGCGTGCAGACAGCTGCTCCTTGTGCGCCTGCGCCTCGGGCTGCGACGCCCAGTCCGGGCCGGCCGGGTTGTACTTGTTCCTGCCCTCGTACCGTGCCGTGGACCCAAGGAAAGTACCTAGCCGAGGTACAGCCGAGGTACAGCCGAGGTACAGCCGAGGTGCGGCCGAGGTACGGCCGAGGTGCGGCCGAGGTGCAGCCGAGGTACAGCCTAGGTACAGCCGAGGTACAGCCGAGGTACAGCCGAGGTACAGCCGAGGTACAGCCGAGGTACAGCCGAGATGCGGCCGAGGTGCGGCCGAAGTGCAGTCGAGATGCAGCCGAGATCTGTGGCGCTGTCTCACGGTTCCGCAGGACGGCCGAGACGATCGCGTCGTTGAGCAGGGACTGGTCGTCCGAGTTTGCGTAGTACGGCGGCCTTGCGAACGGCACGATCCGCGCCACAATCTCCGGGTGGTTCTGCAGCAGCTGCACTCTCCACGCGACCTCGTCGAGCAGACGCAGCGCAGACATCGAGCCGGGCCTGCGTGCTGAGTACGCCAACCTCAGGGCGGGAAGACGGTGTTGTGCAGAATCTTCAGAGCACCGCGTGAGTACGAGGGAGGAAGATGCAGTGAATAAAGCTGAGTACGGCTGAATGCGGCTGAATGCGGCTGAATGCGGCTGAAGACGTGTCCTCTCGAGCGTTGGTTGGAAGACAAGAGCACGTCTTCTGCTTCTAGCGAGCCGGGCCTCGCGTAGACGACGCCGGCGTTGGCGATACCCACGTCGCGCATGATCACCAGCGACGCGTCGCGCATCAGCCGCAGCATGCGGAACGGGTCGTGCCTGGTCACAGCCAGGCGCGTCTGAAGAGACGCCGCTGCCGCACCAGGCCGCAGCGACGCGGAGCGGGGCGGCTCGCATCCAGACGGTGTCAGTGTCGGCCTGGAGCACGGCGTAGCCGCCCTCGACGAGCAGCGCCATGTACTTCTTCTTGATGTAGTAGAAGCGGAAGCGGAAGTCCCAGAACTTGCGCAGCGTGATCGAGTCCGCCGGCTGCCGCCGAAGCATGCGAGAGCTCCAAAAGCACGGCCCGTAGAGCACAGCGCGCAGAACCTCGCAGGTCTGCCACCCGTCGGCGAGGAGCATCACGTGCCTGCGCAGGCCGAGGGTGGCGAGCGTGACGAGGCTGTTGTTGGTGACGGAGAGCGAGTTGGCGTCCGAGCCCGTCGCCATGAAGATGAGCTCCTTGTCGCCGTTGGCCGCCCGGCGCGCAAGCGACGCCGCAGCGGCCAGCAGCGCTCCCGGCGCCTCGAGGTCGCCGAGCGGCCAGCCCGTGAAGGGCTGGCCCTGGTTGTGGTGGTGCCGGGCTGAGGCGCCACCCGGGCCGGGGCCGGAGCTGCTGCTTGGAGGCACTGGGTCGGCTGCCAGAGCGACCAGCGCCGTCAATAGCGACATGAGCAGCGGTTAGCGGCGGCTGTTTAAGACGGAACGAAGTGGAGCCCGCAGACGACACCGACCCAGACGGCACCGGCAGGCACCGAGACTCGTCAGACTCGTAGGACTCGCCGTGAGTAGCTGGTGTCGTCGACGAAGTTGGCAGACGTGCGGGGCCAACACTTGAAAAAGAATTCATCCCGCGGCCGCCTGTGCGACTGCAACGAATTTATTCTTTCTTTTTGCAACGAAGGACCGCTCGCAAGGGACCATTGGGTTTGTGCTATTAACAACGTAGGCGCTCTCAAAAAAAGAATTTTAGATTCAAAAGAATTCTTGAAAGAAAGAGATTCACTTACTCAGTCTCACACACCTCCTAGCATGGAGGACGGGCCCACACGCACACACACGCTGCACACGATTGGCTCGGGAGCCGACACGAGGCACGCTGTCACCGGCCGTAGCACTGGGTCCGGAGCTCCGGACTGCCTGAGGGAGGGTGTAGAGGATGTAGAGTGTAGAGCGCTGTAGAGCTGTAGAGATGTAGAGCGCTCTGGAGCGCTGTAGAGCTGTAGAGCTCTACATCGGCTGCGTGACGAACTGCCTCCGTTGTAGAGCGATGTAGAGCGCGATTTTGTTGTAGAGTTTGTTGTAGAGGCTCTACAGCCAAACCGCCGGGAAGGCAGTGACTCAAAGAGGTCGAGTCGCACTAATGGGGTGTCTCCGAGCTTACTGGAGCTCTGATGGACGGCCCTGACTATCCCTGACACACAGAGAGTCACTCTGACGGCACACAACACCCTATAACTGCGTCATGACCAGCCTGCCATGCGTCGCCGGTGCCGCATTCGTCGCTGTGCTTCTTTAGCAGGCGGTGGACTGTCGGCTGCGAGGACGGTCGCATTTGCGCGAGGCGAGGCGAGCATTGCTGCGCGTTGCATGCGCCATGACTCGCGCCAGCGCGTGCGGGAGCTCCTGGCTGAGCGTTGAGTCCAAGCAAGTTGCGCTGGCCACGATCGCTACGCCGAGCCGAGCTGACGCGCCCGAGGCGCTGGCCAGTCGCAGCCGCGAGGCATGCCACAGCAGCAGAGGCACCTGCCACCCATTGGGCGGGCAGACAGAAGGCCAGGGCAGCACTGGCAAGTGCAACGCGCCTCATGTCGGAGAGCGACCGTGCCTCGTTCGCCGCTTATGATGTAGAGTTTGTTGTAGAGATTTCACGTTGTAGAGCGCCTCTACATCGCTGTACAACGCAGGCACTTCGTCCCGCGGCGGATGTAGAGCTCTACAGCTCTACAGCGCTCTACAGCGCTCTACATCTCTACAGCTCTACAGCGCTCTACACTCTACATCCTCTACACCCTCCCTCAGCGGACTGCTGGACGCACAACACACAGCTCACAGTACAGCTCTCCTCACGAGGTGGCGCTATATAGTGGGGTTCGCGGGGACTGGCGCAGGAGAAGAAGGTGGAGGACAAGGGACAGGGACACAGAACTCACGAACATCCCATCCCGCGCCGGGGGCGGTGGCGCGCGCGGATCCGCCGGCAGAGCCTTGAGCCGCACGTCCGCGATCCGCGCCGGCTCTCAGAAGAGATCCGGCGCGGTGCTGACCGCGTCCTCGCAGCGGACCACCGAGTTCACGATGATGTCCGAGGAGAAGCGGTGCAGCTGCGGCACAATGCGGTAGACGCACAATGCCGCACTGCGGCTTGCGGCACTCCTGCTGCAACGCGCGCGCGGTGGTGAGGAGAGTGCGAGCCCTTGACCTGCTGGAGTCAGTCCATCGCCCGCGCATGCGCGCCAGAAGGACGTCTTCGGAATTCTTTCTTTCTTAAAAGAAAAAGAAACGCGCAGGGTTGACGCAACCCAGTGGTCGCACGGCGGCCCAACCAGCGGACCTTACCTTCCGGTCCTCTCGCTACAGCCCCACCCTCTCGTCACGCCCACCGACATGCGGGCTGCGCTGCTGGCCCTCTTCATCCCGGGCGCATTCGGCTGGTGGCTGTGTCCTTCCGTTCCCAGAGAACGCCAGCTCGGTGCGATGCTGGCGACGCTCAACCGCACCGCCGAACTCGCCGCCTCGCCGCCAGACCCGATCTTTGGAATCTGGTTTCTGAACTGGCGCCACATGGTAGGGCATGACACGCTCTTCTCCGACGGGCTGATGGCGCTGCTGGAGCCAGAGGCGTGGAATGCCACCTCCCGTGTGTACTCGCTCCGGCCGCTCAAGTATGACGCTTGGACGGTGAGCGCCAACCTGCTGGGGACCTTTGACTACGTGACGCAGTACAACACAGGTGTCCTCCAGACGCGCGAGATCCACTTTGGAGACCAGAACGAGATCACCTCGATCACGGACGTCTCATGGAACGGGCGACGCAGGCTGCAAAAGTGGATCGCGACACCGATCAACGCCACTGAGGGCACCTTCGAGCGGTGGAACCGAGTCGATGGCGCTGGCGTAGAGTCGGCGACAAGCGTTTCAGATGGCGGGTACGACTATACCGGGGTCAAGCTCTACGACCGCTCGGGCGCCTACCCCTCTCACATCGCCGAGTGGCAGCGTGACGCCTACCCAAGGGTGTATGACTGCACTTGAGAGGCGCTGCCCGGCGCCGCCCGAGACACTGTGTTACTACAAGTATTACTAGCGGCAGCGGTGTTGAGTACCGGATCTGATTGTTGTCTTCTAAGACTGAGGGCGCGCACATCCCTTACCGCGCTTACGTGGCTGGGTTCACAGCGATTGTAGGAAAATGACGAAAATGCTTGCTCTCGACCGGATGGGCGAGATGATGGTGTTTTGCTGCAAGGGCTGGCGAGAGCGGGCCAGGAGCGGAATCGACGAACTCCGCCGAAACGCCGCGGACGCGCGTTTTGGCAATTGGATCCATTAGATACGTCCGTCCGCTCTCTTCGGCAAGCCCGCCCCCTCTCGCGCGCATGTCGAGCAGCGAGTCCAGCAGCGAGTCCAGCAGCGAGTCCGCTGAGGAGACCATGCAGGGTGCGTACGAGCACCTCTGGATGATCGCGAGCCAGACGGATGGCCTCGAGACTGACATTGACTGGGCGGACGCTTTCCGCTGGAATGACGCTAAACTTGACGCAGCGGCGCTGGCACTCTACACCGTTGCCGTCCACGTCGACGTGGGGGGTGACGACCGATTTCGGGCAGCTCAACAGAGGGCCGAGCGCCGCCTCGCCGTCAAGTTCGTCTCCGAACTTGAGAGGGCTCACAGTGGAGGTCGCAAACGCAGACGCTAATCCCTCCCTGAACCCTGGCGGCTCACGCCACTTTCCTGCGGTTCACGCAGTCTGGGATGCGAGGCTGTGCCTCTCCCTGGCAGATCATGCCATTCTCGCGGCTCACGCGCGCGGCTCACGCGCTTTCGACCCGCGCTTAGCCCCATTCTGGTGGGGCAGTGCGGGTCGGAGGTCCTCCCGGCTCATGCCACTCGATTGCGGCTCACGCAGTCCGGGATAGGAGGCGGTGCCTCTCCCTGGCAGATCATGCCACCCTTGCGGCTCACGCACTGGCGACTCACGCCTCCCGTTGCGGCTCACGCAAGCGCTCACGCCATCCTCGGCTGCAGCCTGGGTGCCGAGGCGGTGCCCCTCCCCCTGGCTATAGGGGATTCGAGGCGGTGCCTCTCCCTAGAGGAACGGGATGCGAGGCGGTGCCTCTCCCGGGCGGTTCGGTCGGCTCACACCGAACGCGGCTCACGCTGAGCGGGGCGGATCACGCCCCATCGCGGCTCACGCACTGGCGACTCACGCCTCCCTTCGTTGCGGCTCACGCAAGCGCTCACGCCATCCTCGACTGCAGCCTGGGTGCCGAGGCGGTGCCCCTCCCTGGCTATAGGGGATTCGAGGCGGTGCCTCTCCCTAGAGGAACGGGATGCGAGGCGGTGCCTCTCCCGGGCGGTTCGGTCGGCTCACACCGAACGCGGCTCACGCTGAGCGGGGCGGATCACGCCCCATCGCGGCTCACGCACTGGCGACTCACGCCTCCCTTCGTTGCGGCTCACGCAAGCGCTCACGCCATCCTCGACTGCAGCCTGGGTGCCGAGGCGGTGCCCCTCCCTGGCTATAGGGGATTCGAGGCGGTGCCTCTCCCTAGAGGAACGGGATGCGAGGCGGTGCCTCTCCCGGGCGGTTCGGTCGGCTCACACCGAACGCGGCTCACGCTGAGCGGGGCGGATCACGCCCCATCGCGGCTCACGCACTGGCGACTCACGCCTCCCTTGCGGCTCACGCAAGCGCTCACGCCATCCTCGACTGCAGCCTGGGTGCCGAGGCGGTGCCCCTCCCTGGCTATAGGGGATTCGAGGCGGTGCCTCTCCCTAGAGGAACGGGATGCGAGGCGGTGCCTCTCCCGGGCGGTTCGGTCGGCTCACACCGAACGCGGCTCACGCTGAGCGGGGCGGATCACGCCCCATCGCGGCTCACGCACTGGCGACTCACGCCTCCCTTGCGGCTCACGCAAGCGCTCACGCCATCCTCGGCTGCAGCCTGGGTGCCGAGGCGGTGCCCCTCCCCCTGGCTATAGGGGATTCGAGGCGGTGCCTCTCCCTAGAGGACGGGATGCGAGGCGGTGCCTCTCCCGGGCGATTCGGTCGGCTCACGCGGAGCAGAACGGACGGATCGTGCCCCCTCGCGGCTCACGCGGTGGGGCTCATGCTATCGCGGATCACGCGTGGGAGCGCGTCGGCGTTCACCGGGAGTCTGTTGCAACGCCGTGCCATCAGCAGGCCAACGCTAGTCCACCGACTCTCCGGACGGCGCGTCCTGAAGGGCCTCAACTCTGTCACCGGACGCGACCGGCCTCAAAGGGGTCTGAGAGGTCCGGCCTCTTCGCGTACGGCGATTCTAAGCCCTCAATACAAGCATGAGCTCCTCTCCCCCTCGGTCTGGGAGCTAGCCCGACAAACGGCAAAAACTGCTTGCTCTCGACCGGATGGGCGAGATGATGGTGTTTTGCTGCAAGGGCTGGCGAGAGCGGGCCAGGAGCGGAATCGACGAACTCCGCCGAAACGCCGCGGACGCGCGTTTTGGCAATTGGATCCATTAGATACGTCCGTCCGCTCTCTTCGGCAAGCCCGCCCCCTCTCGCGCGCATCCCACCGTCCAACCCCTGCGCCTCCTTTTGTGTGTGCGAGTCCGGGGGGGTCTGAGAGGTCCGGCCTCTTCGCGTACGGCGATTCTAAGCCCTCAATACAAGCATGAGCTCCTCTCCCCCTCGGTCTGGGAGCTAGCCCGACAAACGGCAAAACCACTTGACGGTCGCGGCCTTCCGACTCGCGCCTCCGCCTCACTGGCACTATTGTAGCCCTGGCCGGTGCGCGTGCTCAGTTGAAGTTCCGGAGTGAAAATTCGAACGCGTTCTCTCACGGTGACAAAAAAATGTCCACCTCAGAGGCACCTCCGGAGGCAGGCCGCCGCACGCCGGCGACACAGCTCCAGCTGTCGAGCTGACCCGCAGCTCCTCTCAGAGCGGGAACTGTGACGAAAGTTGACTGAGGCGGTTGTCAGGAATCATCATACGGATCACATGGTGGCTCTCTCATGACGGGAGACCGCCCGACCACTCCTGGGTGGCACTGCCACCGGTGTCGCTCGACGTCCTGTCGACAGCGTGCCGACAGCGACACAGACCATGTGGGACGCGTCGAGTATCGACCTCTACTGCTTACCCAGCCTTCGAGTGTATCCTGGCTGTGGTCCCACACCCACTGGTGTCCATCTCAGAGACCGCAGGAGGTCATGAGGGTCGATGGGAGTGCGCCAACCCCACAATGCCTAAAAACCCAGCCCAGTACGATGTGCGACGCCTACACTCTACTAAACAAGAGCGACACACACGTACGACACAGGCTGGCACACAGTGCTCTGCTTGACCCTATAATGTACCCTCTCACACAGGCTCTCGCATGTGGATGGCCCCGCACGCATGCGTCACGACTGAGTCACGTCACACGCGCAGAGGGGAGACGTATGGACGCCCCGCTCTGTCTCGGAGCATACGGGCGATACGTAGCTGCACACAAATAGACGTAGTCCTCCTCAACACCTTTGCATAGCAAGCTATTGAACAAGCCTCCCAGAGGGCGGCGGCGGCACGGGTGAGGGCCGGCCACGACGCGGCCGGTCGCGGAGAGGTACACTGCACGCCTTTCCGCAGGGCGCGATGCGACTCAAAGATGACAGCGCGCTGTCGCTAGCGGCCAAGCGGCTCTGTGGTGAGCTCAAGCAGAGAGAGCATTTCCGCGGTCGAGAGGTGCTCGCCGCTGCCAAACGCAAAGGCGTGCGGCTCGGCGTCCAGCCGCTGAGGTGCCGGCGAGTTGATGGTCGTCTCCGTCTCCGACCCCAAGTCATCGCACGCCGTGCCGACGTCGAGCTCGTCGAGCCAAAGGAGCGGGAGCTCGGCGCCAAAGTCGTCCGTGTAGAAGGTCAGCGCGGGCGAGCACGGGTCCGCCTCGCTATCGACCGACTCACTCTCGACCGGCTCGCTCCTCTCGGGCTCGCTGCTCGCGGGCTCCGCTGCCGCCTTTTTCGCCGGTGGCTCGGCCGCTGACGGCGACGTCGTATTGACGGGCCTCTTTCGTTTGTGCAGCCGCTGGCGGCGGTTCTGAAACCACACCTGCGCCATCGGTTTCGAAGGTTCAGACGCTGCGTGGAGCGGGCGGTCCGCTCGCAGCTCGCGCCTGCACTTGGCGCGGCTTCAGGTTGCACTCCTCCGCGAGACGTCGAGTGAGGAACGAATCGGGCGTGGTCTTGAGGTCGAACGTGGCTTCCAGGACGGCGCGCTGCTCCGGCTTGAGTGACCTGGTGTAGCGAGGAGGGCGGTGGCATCAGTGGTCAGCGGTGGCGAGGGCGGTGGCGTCGAGGGCGGAGGTGGAGTGGGCGGTGGCGGAGAGATGGTCCTTGTCGATGGTCGCATCGGTCTGATGAGCAGGAAGGTTTGCCGACAAGGCACAAGCGAGAGGAAGCTCTCAAAAAACGAGCTTCGGCGCCAAGTGTTCGGAAGGTTGGGGGCCCGATATGCAACAGACGCGCCGCCGCGCCCAAAGCCCCCGACATGAACGCGTCCCAAAACGAAAAAAAAGGCCGACGAACCCCGGCGCCGTACGCAAACCAACCCCTGCCTAGACGAGTACAGCTAAAGAGAGTACCCGGGGCTCCCCACCCATCAACCCCTGCCTAGACGAGTACAGCTAAAGAGTACCCGGGGCTCCCCATGCGGGAGGGGGGCCGTGAACATCTTCAGCTTGTGAGCCAGGAAAAGGGATGTACGCAAACCTACCGTCCTGGACGCGCCTCTCGCCACTCTCGGATCTGCCTGCGCAGCATGTGGTGCGGGAAGAGGCCAGTGTTCTCGAGCTCCGCGCCCGTCATCGGGCTCGTCGACTTGGTCGCGAGCCAGCGCTTCATCGCCGTCCGCTCGTAAGCATGCCCGTCCGCCGCCATCACCGGATCGCTCATGACCTCGGTCGTGATCGGGCAGATGAAGTCGGCCGGCGGCTCCTCCTCCTCCACCGAAGGTGGCCTCTCTGCAGCCAAAGAGGACGACCCCTGCTCGTCGGGCGCCCGCCTCTCCTCCTCCAGCCTCGCGCTCACCTCGAGCGCCGCCGCCAACTCCGCCGCCTCCGCAGCCGCCAGCGCTGCCTCATCCTCAGGCTCACGCGACGGCCCAGCGCCGCCCCCGCCGCCCTTCCCCTTCTTCTTCCCCTTCTTCCCCTTCTTGCTCTCCTTGGCGCGCTCCCCCTCCTTCTCCTCCTCTTCCTCCGCCAGCAGCGCCTCGGCATGCCGCGCCGCCTCCGCCTCTGCCGCCGCTCTCATCTCCGCCGCCGCTGCCGCCGCCACCGCCGCCGCCGTCACTCCCGCCGCCGCCTCGCCCGAGGAAGCGCCACCCGCGACGGAGGTGGGCGATGCCTGCGCGTGTGAAAACTTGGGGCTCACACCCGTCTGGTTGTAGAGCAATGGACCCTTCACCTGCGCGCACACCTGCTCCACCTCCTGGATGCTCGCCGCGCCCTCGACGAAAGCCATGTCTGCGCCGGCCTCGAGATACATATTCACCCGGTCGACGGCCTCCTGCAGCGCCACCGCCTCGCGCTGGCTCGCAGTGACCTCCGCGATGTGCTGCCGGAAGGCCTCGACGCACGCGCTGTGGCCGTCCTCCTTGGCCAGCCGCAGCGCGGACTTGCCGTTCCCAGAGCGCAGTGCCGCGTCCGCCCCCGCCTACAGCAGGCGGAGCACGACGGCGGGGTGGCCTTGGCCGGCGGCGTACATCAGCGCAGTGCCGCCGTCGCTGTCCTGCTTGATATTCGCGCCGCGCTGCAGCAGCAGCTCGACCGCCCGATCGCGTCCCTCCTGGGCGGCGGTCATCAGCGCGGTGCGGCCGTCACTGTCCTGCAATTCGATCTCTGCACCGCGCTGCAGCAGCAGCTCGACCACCCGCTCGTGGCCGTTGTCGGCGGCGCGCATCAGCGCGGTCCAGCCTTCGCTGTCCTGCGAATCGACCTCCGCGCCGCGCTGCAGCAGCAGCTCGGCCGCCCGCTCGTGGCTGGAGTAGGCGGCGTACATCAGCGCGGTACAGCCTTCGCTGTTCTGCGAATCTGCCTCCGCGCCGCGCTGCAGCAGCAGCCCGCTCGTGGCCTTCGCTGGCGGCGCCCATCAGCGCGGTGCCGCCGCTGTCCTGCAATTCGATCTCTGCACCGCGCAGCAGCAGCAGCTCGACCACCGCTCGTGGCCCTCCTGGGCGGCGTACATCAGCGCGGCGCCGCCGTTCTCGTCCTGCTGGTTGATCTCTGCACCGTGCTGCAGCAGCAGCTTGACCACCCGCTCGCGGCCGTTGTTGGCGGCGTGCAGTAGCGCGGTGTCGCCTTTGCTGTTCTGCAGTTCGACCTTCGCGCCGCGCTGCAGCAGCAGCTCGACCACCTTCTCGTGGCCGTTGTCGGCGGCGCCCATCAGCGCGGTGACGCCGTTGTCGTCCTGCTTGTTGACCTCCGCGCTCATGGCAGAGAAGAAAAATCTCGGGCGAAAAGAAACCCGCGGCATCGTACAGCTGCGCTTCGCGTCCGACGGCGCCTTCGCCGGACACGACGAGGCGCAGCCACAGCATCCAAGCTCCAGCATCCACGGAACAAGAGATTAGCGCAGCGGCAGCATGACGGCGGCCTCTGACCTCCTGGAGGCGTGCTTACCGCTCCGCCGGCGCTCCTACGCCACCACTGCCGAGGCTTATCGGCAAGCGTACACTGATGTGGCAACCACGCTCCCGCTCTTTCCGCCGCCTATGCGGCACATCGATCGACCGCTACCGCCCCACTCCGCGACGGCACCCTTTCTGTGCACCTCGGGTGGTCGTCTCGAGCGCGGGACGCCCGACGACGTCGATGAACTGCTTGCAGGCTACCTCGTGAGTGGAGTGTCGCCCGCTGCGCCCAACATCGACGTGGGAGGCGAGACGGTCGAGGTTTCGTCCAACGGCCAGGCGCGCCGCGCGCTTGCGGCAGCCTCGGCCGAGGGCAAGAGCTATTGGGCCGCGTGCCGAGCGCCAGTCGAGCACCCGAGCTGGTGGCCGGTGCGAGCTGGCGCCAAGGCCGTGCCCGGGTTCGAGCACCTGATCTGCGGCGAGGGCGCCTCGGGCATTGGCATGCACCGCGACCGCTACCGCGAGGCTGAGCAGCCCGATCGACTCGTGTCCACCTACCTCAGCTTGAGCCGCGGGAGGAAGCACGTCCTCCTTCTCCCGCCGACGGACGAGGGCGCGGCTGTGGCGCAGCAGCTCGGGGGCGAGGGGTGCGACGACGCGTCCGGTGAGAGACGCGGAGGAGGGCGCTCCTGACGCCGCGCTGTGACACCGCCGCCCGCCGCTCGTAGGCCGCGCCAGCTCTCAGCGAGCCTGCTTCCCGCTGCTTCCGAGCCCCGACTTGCTCGAGCGCGTCCTCGCCGCCGGCGGCTTCTGGTTCGACCTGGAGGCTCCGACCTCCGCGGGCGGAGAGGCGCTCGAAGGAGAGGAGGAGAGCGAGGTGGAGGGCGAGGAGGAGGGCGGCGAGGAGGTGGGCGACGAGGAGGAGAGCGATGAGGTCCTCTGCCTCTTCATGCCCGCTGGATGGTGGCATTGGCTGGTCGCCGACAGCGAGTGGCACGTTGCTTGGTCGGGAAGCTTCTTCCCCACACAGGGTCGGGCAGCGGGTGGTGGCGGAGAGCGGGCGCGGCACCCGGCCAGGCGCAGCCGAGCTGCGGCGCGCAACTCGGAAGGAGCCGTTCGGAGGGAGCTGGACGCACTCAGCGTAAACGACAGGGGAAGGCCGCCAAAGCGTGCCCCGCGCTGGTCGCGCGGATTTTAAAATTTGGAATGTTTTTTTGCATTTTTTGGAACAACGACGCGCCAGGATTTTAACATTGGAGCACTTGGTCTTGGCATGTCTCTCTCCCCTCGAAGCAGGGGTCCTCAGAAAAGTGTCGCCACCAAACTTGCGACGGGCAGGCCAATGCTGCTCCTGCTCGCCGCGATGGGCACGGCTGCCTCTCCGGATTCCGAACTCGACCTGTTCCGTCGAGCCGCTCCCCTGCTGTCTCAGAAGCGCAAGGGCGGCTGGAACGCTGAGGAGAAGTGGTCAGCTCTATGCTTCTCGTGGCTGAGTGACGCCGGCGAGAACGCAAGCCTCAGCGACGGTCCCCTTGCCCATAAGAAGAAGAAGACGGTACAGAAACAGATCGAGAGGTGGAAGGCCGATGAAAGGTTCGCGGACACGATGTCGCTGATGGTCGATACACCGCCGAGCGAACGGCCGAGTCTCATTGCTCAGATCCGGAAGGTGAGCACCTCCGAAGGTCGACGTGCACTGGAGCAGGAGGCAAACGACGAGCCGAACGGCGCGGGTAATTGCAGTGTGGACGACGCGGTGCTGCTTACCCGCGAGAGCGAGTGGCTCGCCCAGGCGCCTATACGTAAGCGACCTACGTGCGACGCCAACCCTCACAAAGCGCGGCCGTGTTATAGGCGATGCCGCTCACCGCCAAGCACGAGAAGGCGCGTGTCCGAGCTCTCGTCTACGGATTGCACAGCATGACGGAAAGCCGGCGAGACTGGACTGTCGAAGCTGACCTCGCGAGTGAGCGCTCAACACAGCCCATGCCCCGCCTCCTTTCTTCTCACCACTCTCCTTGCCCACCCGACGCAGTCCTCGTCAAGGTCAACGGCAGTGATGGAGACGTGCGATCTGCTGTGGAATCACTGCCGTGCAAGGAGCATTTCCGCTACTACACGCTACTGCGTCTTCTGCCTCCCGACCTCTGCAACGAGTTCTTTCCGACGAAACAACTTCCATCCGATGCGCTGCCGCCTCGAGTCCTCATGGGCAGGAGCCTTCTGGGCAAGCCCGTGATGCGTCTGCCATACGAGGGCAGCGCATTCATCGAGGCGGACGACGGCAGCGGCAACCTGCCTGAATACGCCGACATATCTCTCATCTCCGAAACCAAGGCCGCCATCTCTATTCCGTTCGAGTGGCCGCTCTGCATCGATCCGACGCACATCATCACGAGCGACGGATCACAGGTCATCTCTCCCTATGCAGTCGATGATGTGACGCGGGACACGCGTCTATCCGAGCTGCAAAAGGACATCTCCGTCTTCGCATCTCGGCGTCTCCACCGCCGGGTCAGCTCTGTCGTGCTCTTCGAAGAGTGCGGCCAGTCCGACCACGAACCTGCCGTGACGCCGTGGTGCGACCCGAGCGCGACTGCCAGAGAGGTCGATCTCTTCAACGTCGCGGCGGGGGACCGGCTGCGTGTCTACATCGTAGTCGATTCACTCGCCGCCGTCCCTGAAGACGAGCCATTCTGTCCGATCGTTCCTCAACAACCTGTCCCACCGCCGCCTCCGTTTCCGCCGTGCGCCTGCGACCGCACACCAGCGCTGCCGATGCCAGCCTCGCCAGAAGCTCCGCCACCAATGCCGCCACTGCCAAACATTCCCACTGCCGACGCGTTGCAACGAGCAAGAGCCCTCGTACGTGACGGCGCCGGAACCATACGCGGAAGGAGCCGTTCGGAGGGAGCTGGACGCACTCAGCGTAAACGACAGGGGAAGGCCGCCAAAGCGTGCCCCGCGCTGGGACCGCGGATTTTAATTTTTTTTTCTTTTTTTTCGGGACAACGACGCGCCAGGATTCGAGCAAGACTCCCTTACCACTGACCCGACGCTATGGATGCCATGAAGTCGGGCGCCGAATCCCTGATGACAAAGGACAACATGGACGCGGGCTTCGAAACGGCCGAGGCAGGCCTCGACAAGATGGACGCGATGCTCGCGCAGAATGGCGGCTCCGTCGTCTCGAAGTGCGAAAGCACCTTCGGGCCGCAGGCGGGCGCCTTCTGCAAGACGCTCAAGAACGGCTGCGACGCGATGCTCTCCTTCGGCAAGAATGCCTTGCCCAAGGTCCAGGAGCAGGCCGACTCGATGGCCTCGCGTGACTTGAAGATGCCGCCCACGTGCAAGAAGCCGCCCGCCAAGTACGTCGCCCAGCGGCGGGAAGAGAACGCCTTCGTGCAGAAGATCGCAGAGTAGGCTCGCGGCGCGAGGCTGCGCCCAATCGGGCGGCGCTCCGCTGTGTGTATGAAATCTGGCCTGTCCATCGCGTTTGAGCGAGTGCTAGTCCGTGTGCGCACTCGCTCGGTTGCCTGTGGTGTTTCTCCGCCTCCACTATACGTACGGTACTACATGCAGGAAACTCGAGCTACGCCACTGTACCAAAGAACGGCTTCCTACAGTCATATGCCTACGGCGTCTGGAGGTGGGGGTGGCCACCTCCGCGCCGTCTGTGCCGCCGCCGCCGCCTGCGCCTGCGCCGCCATCTGCGCTCCCCAGGCGGCCGCCGCCGCCGGCGTGATCACACCGTAGGAGGGGGGCAGCTGCGTAGCCGCCAGTAGAGTCCTGCTGGTCTCCTCTCTTGATTAGTGTCATAAGTGTGGCTGGTGTGTGTCAGAGCCTGACAGCACCCCGACAGCACCACCTGACAGCACCTGACAGCAACAGCCCAACGTCTGACAGCAGCAGCAGCCTGACAGCTCCGACAGCTCCGACAGCGTCTGACAGCAACACCCGACCGAGCTCCGACAGGCGACAGCACCCGACAGCTACAGATCCCCTCGACTATCAGACACGCACCCCACAGCACCCGACAGCACTGACAGCACCTGACAGCACCTGACAGCTGGTCTGACAGAGGCACCTGACAGTGCCTGACAGCATGCCCGACAGCCCGACAGATCACCTGACAGCACCTGACAGCCTGTGACAGCCAGGGCTCAGCGCGCCACCTGCTGTGCGTCCGGTGGTGCCGTCCACTCGGCGGGGTCGCAGCTGCCTCTGGAAGGCACCGAGAGGTACAAAATGGCGCAAATGGAGCGGCCGCACACTGCTCGGTACCCCCCCTGCACATCTAAAGCCCTGCCCGACCCCCCCCCAGCAGCAGAGCTCTGGTGCTGGGGGGGTCAGACCCCCCCCCCCCCTAGCAGCAGGGATGGCTTTAGATGTGCAGGGGGGGTACCGAGCAGTGTGCGGCCGCTCATGGTCAAAATCAAAGTTTTGCAACGCGAGCTGTGCCACAGTGAAATGGAACTAGCCATACCGCTCCGTCACGGCTCACGCGATCAGCGTCGCAAGTGAGAAGTGTACGTGTGCTGTGTGATGCGAGGTCGGCGCTGTGGCCTGCGCGCCGATTCGCGCAGATTGACTGCGCCCCAGGACTGACGTGACTCGTGAGCGTCGCCGGGCGCCGTCAGCGTGAGACTGAGTCTGTGTGAGACTGCACGGGCCATAAAGAGGACGCATCCAAACCGCCGCCTTTCGACCGCCGAAAAGTCTCCCACTCTCGCGCCCTCCCCAAATCTCGAGTCCTCTCTCTTTGTTACATACACATAAAATAGACAAAAACGCTGCCCGGGTATTCGAAGAATCGTAATATTATACTCATACAACCACGGGCACGGCGCGCGTCGAGACTCGAGTGACGCCATGGTCACGCCGACGTCGCTTCCAGCGGCACACCGGGCTGTTGGCCCGCCACTCCTCAAGCTCCGCGGCCGAGAAGGCGAAGCCGGGATCCGGCTCACCGCCCAGCTGCGTCACGACGAAGATCATCCCGTACGAATGGCGCGAGCATTTGCGCGCGTCGCACGAGCCCGCGACGCAGCGAAAGGCCACGCCGTGCCGGCGCGCCATGATCTCGACATGCGCGCGCCCCTCGCCCATCTCGAGCGGTTCACGCCCTCCCCACCCGCGCTGCACGGCGAGGCCCAGCCTCCAGCTCTCCACTCTAGTTGGACCGTCGGGGATGGTTACGACAGCAGCAACGACAGCAGCAACGACAGCAGCAACGACAGCTGGTGACAGCTGGTGACAGCTGGTGACAGCTGGTGACAGCTGGTGACAGGTAGGTGTCACTGTCGCTGTCGTTTGCTGTATGACAGCTGGCAGCTGTCATGACAGCGGCTAACCGTCATGACAGCGGCTAACCGTCATGACGTGAACTCTCCATAGTCTCTGACTAATGTCGCACATGTTATGTTGGGAGACTGATGGGTCGAAAGCACAGGTCGTCAATCGACACGTCGCGCCTTTGCCGATTCTCACACCGAGGTTTCTTGGGTGGCGCGGCCCAGTCTTCACAACGAACCTGTTCGTAGCTACCAGTAGGTAGCCGGCCAGTCCTCGGAGGAGGGCAACTCCGTGCACTGACCGTCGGCCGCCAGAAATTACGCCTGCGTGGATCGGCGATGCTTCCGCTCGCGGCCATCGCCAAGCTCTCTCTCCTGCTGGCCCTGCCCGCCACGCACGCCGTTGCCGTCTGCGGCGTCGACGTCCCTCACGCCAAGGTGAGCCCTGCGAGCCGCGCGCTCGACAGCTCCGACTGGCCCGAAGCCTTTCCGTACACGGCAAAGGATCTCACGCCGATGATGGCCGGCAACGACGGCTTCTTCTACTTCTTGCCCAAGTTTGTTCAACACGCCGGCGAGGAGTGCCGCGACTCGCTCACACGCTTCTACGAGGCGGTGCTTCCGGCGAGCGGCGAGGGCGACGTGCTCGACCTGTGCTCGTCTTGGACGTCGCACTACCCATCGGGTTGGAGGCCCTCGCCGCCTCGCCGCTGCGTCGCTCTCGGCCTCAACCCACTCGAGCTTCTCGCCAACCCGAGCAAGACGGAGTGGCGCGTGCAGGACCTCAACAAGGACCCGCAGCTACCGTACGCAGACGCCGCCTTCGACCTGGTCACAAACTCGCTGTCGGTCGACTACATGACGCGGCCTCTCCAGACTCTGTCTCGAGACAGAGCACCGCGACCTCTCCCCACAATGAGTGGCGGACTCGTCCTCGTAGGCAGCGCATCTCTTCTCACACCACCGCGAGCGTATGATGAATGGCCCGTGATGAATGGCACATGACGTCTGCCATTAGGCCGCTCGAGCTCTTTGAGGAGACGCACCGTGTCCTGCGGCCGGGCGGGCTCGCTTGCATGGCCTTCACCAACCGCTGCTTCCCGACCAAGGTGACACACACTTGATGACTAATTACGTTACTTGCGGCCATGGCCAACCGCTGCCTCCGACCATATGTTGCGTGATTACTCTTTATTATTGATTTCATGTTCTCCGTGGGCATGGCCCTCACCAGCGGCTAAATCGCGGCCGCAGGTTGTGCCGATCTGGACGACGCCCTTCACCGAGGCTGCCTGTAGCCGAGACACGCCGAGAATCGCCCATGTACTCGGGCCGGGGAGAGAAGGCGACGGCGCATCAAGGCTGAGAACGGTTGATGCCCCATCCCAGGCGAGCCACGCGAAGATCGTCGGCGCATACTTTCGCTACTCGGCCGATTGGGCGGAGGTGGGCGTCGCCGACGTGAGCCCCGACGGCTGGGTGGGGCAGCGGGACCCGATGGTGGTGGTGGTGGCGAGGAAGCGGGGTTGACACGCGTCATGTACTGCTACGGTACCTTGTAATGTTTATTTACACTTATGTCTCGCTGTTTGCACATGTGCACGCGTGCGGACGCCGACCGGAGATACGCTATACGGCAACTCTTGTGGCTAGTTCCATTTCACTGTGGCACAGCTCGCGTTACAAAACCTTGATTTTGACCATTTGCGCACTATTGTACCTCTCGGTGCCTTCCAGAGGCAGCTGCGACCCCGCCGAGTAGACGGGCGCACACAGCAGGTGGCGCGGTGTGCGCCCGTCCACTCGGCGGGGTCGCAGCTGCCTCTGCGCGTCCTGGGGAGGTACATTTGTTGCGCACCGGAGACGACTCGACGCCGCTGAGATCGGAGATCAAGCTCTGACAGGTCACACGTCGCTCCTTTGACGCCGACGTGACTCGCCCGTACAGATCACATCAGGACACGGGCTCGACGCGCTCGGTACGACGCCTGCGACCCGTCTCGGGTCAGGTGGCACGACGCTCATCGCGCCTGCCAGCGCTGCCGTACAGGTTGCCACGACGAGGTCGAGCACGCTTCTATACGCTCGCCCAGCCTTCCTTTCCATCCCACTAGGCAGCCTGGGAACGGTGATGGTCAGAGGCAAAGCCTACGAGGGGTGGTGGAACCACATGTCACGGCTACTGACGGCTCGACCCCACGATAGCCTCCGAAGGCTGACTTTGCGGCACCATCATCGGACGATGTCGACGAGTTGGGTCGCTCTCGCGGTAGCCAGATGACCTCCCATGCTAGTACCATCGGCTAGGGTCGCAGGAAGCGCGGGGGAGGGCGCTGGGAGCAACACGGAGCTCCGTTGGACGTTTTCAAGATTAGCGTGTCAGAGTGAAATGGAACTAGCCTGTAGTCGTCAGTGTAACCGCCGATCCATGGCGCGCGTAGCTATGACAGGGACCGCGGCCGCGGACCCGGTGGCGGACGGGGCTGGCGCGCAAGCGCCGGCCACCGTCGTACTGCCGGGGATGCGCAGCGGACCCTGGAATCGCTCCGATCGCGCGCAACTGGAGGACGCGGTGGGTGTCGCACGGTTGTTCGGTGCGTCGTGTGTCAGGCTGATAAGGCCTGGCTACGCGACCATCGAGGTCGACCTGAAGCACGAGAAGGCCGCGGGCGACCGCGAGTCGGTGAAGGTGGCGGAGCGCTCGTACATCGAGCGCACCGCGCCGAAGAAGAAGGAGCTCACTGATGAGCAGCTTGCGGCTCGAACCGCGTCACGCAAGGCCAAGAAGATCCGGCAGAAGGAGCGCCGGGCGAAGGAGGCTGGCGAGCGCGCCGCGAACGAGGCCGAGAACGCGGAGCGCCCGCGCGCGCAGCTGCGCGAGAACATCGAGTACGTGATGGCCGGGCTGCGGTCTGCAGCTGCGCAGGCGCGCAGCCAGGCCGGGTCCAATATAGGAGTCGAATACTCGCTGCCCCCGGAGAGGGACGACGGGTATCGATGCGGCCCCAGCAAGGTGTACGCCACAGTTCCCCAGGGGACCGTGGCGACGACGGTCGCCCCGGACTGGCTCGCGAACGAGCTGGCCGGGCGCGGCAAGATTGATGCGGCATGCCGCGACCGCATGGTCATGCACCTGATGACGGCCGCCGGCGCCTCGGCGCCGGCCGACGCCGTGTTCAGGTTCACGGCTGGCGAGGCAATGCAGACCGAGGACGACGACGAGGACGCCGACCGCTCCGAGGAGTATTCCGACGACGACGGGAGGGCGTCCGACTTGTAGCTGGCCTCACCCATATCTTACCCTCTGCCCCCCCCCTCCTGCTACCCCCCAGGCT